TTGGAGAAACAAGGACAACAACACAGCACGTCTGGACATTTATGAGAAGTGGTTGAAAAACTTATCAGACAGCGCGCTCACCCAACTGGAAAAGGATGTCTTTGACAAGGGACTGAACTTTGCTGTAACACCAGAACAGATACTGGTTATAGATCTTATCACGGCAACGGAGTCAGCCATCAGAAACAAGTTGGCAGCCACATAGGCAGAACAACTGAGACTTAAGGTATCAGCCGCTCTCGCTGATGCAAAAGCACCTCCTACCAACCTCACCATCGAAGAAAGGAAGGCTCTGGCATCACTGAGGAAAGACCTGAACATCAGCATCTTGCCGGCAGACAAAAGGAGATGCACTGTGGTGCTGAAGACAGTGGACTACCTGCCGAGACACTGAGGCGAGATCTTACCAGTGGCTATAAAGAGAAGGTTATGGACTTTAAGCTAAAACTGGAAAAGGACAAAGTCATTGACAGACCACTGTTTTATCAACTCTACCCTGGAAAGGCTATCCTGTGCATCTATGGACTTCCCAAGATACACAAGGAAGGAGCACCATTCCGACCCATCATCAGCAGCATCAACTCAATCACGTGCAACATCTCCAAACACCTAGCTATGATCCTAGCTCCTCTGGTTGGTAACACTCCACACCACACCAAAAATTCTCAGGATTTTACCAACAAAACCAGAGAGAACACTGGACTCTGAGGAAACTATGGTATCATACGACATCACCTCACTTTTCACTTGCATTCCCACCAAAGAAGCAGTAACGACAGTGAGAAAACATTCAAACAGCACTCTTTTCAGCAGAATCAGCTTCACCCCAGACCACATTTGTGACCTGCTTGATCTCTGTTTGACCACCACCTACTTCAAGTACAGTGAAGGTTTCTACTGACAAAAGCACTGCTGTGCTATGGGCTCACTGGTGTCCCCTATAGCGGCCAATCTTTACATGGAAGATGTGAAGAAGAGAGCTCTGACCATCTTTACAGGAACTGCTCCTAGCCACTGGTTCAGATATGTGGATGACACCTGCATATTTTTTCGGATATTTTCATAATATTTTCTGGAAGTTTTAGAAACATTTGTTCGGATATATTATTTTTTCAGACATTTCATAAACATTTTTTCAGATATTTTAATAATGTTTTTTGTGTTTCTGTTTTTTGTCCTCTATACTCCACCATGTCCTGTTTATCCTTCTCTCACTCTGTCCTTTGCTTCACTCTGAGCCATGAAGTGGTTTTACCGCTGCATATTTATCTCTCCCACACAGGAAAGAAGAGGCAGTGAGTGTGTGTCGGCTGTGATTTGAAACTTAATGACACTTGAGGGAGCCCAGAGCAGAGCAAGTTTGTGCCTGTGGTTTTCCCAAAGATGCTGCATGTCAACTGCACGTAGTTACTGAAACTGTTCTGTGCATGTTTGTGTGAAAGCCTGTGCGCCTCCATCTGCTAATACAACATGACAGGATCTGTCCTGTTTTCTGTGAGGACAACATGTTACAATGCCGGCGAGGAGACGCAGCAGGGGGTGCTGGGTAATGAGGTTGTTGACATGGCGATGATCAGACCCTTAAACTTCAGTTATGTTGGGATGAGCCAGGTCAGCCGGAGATCTGACCTCAGCTGGATAACAACACCGCAAACGAACACTAATTCTCAACTACGCACACACACACAGCGGAGATGAGAGGATTTGTGATTTAAGTCAATAAATGTAAAAAACTGATTGGCTTCACAGTTTGGTTTCAAATCAATCTCCAGAATATTAAGTATTCTGATAATCAGTTGTTTTCATTCATTTCCTTGTTCCAGTTGTTAAAATGTTTGATTTGTTGCTGTTGTGTCAGATGTAACAGTTAATAAACTGAATATATTTAGGTTTTCGAGTGTTCTTCAGACATTTTTAAGACATCATCTTGAGGTCTGGGAAATTACGACTGGCATTATTTACCACTTTCTGACACTGCCCAAAAATACAGCACAAAGTACTCTGTATAAACCTGATAAAACACTCAACAGTTCCAATCAGTTCAGATTCTGGGGCACTTTTGGATGAATTTAGAAACTTAAGTTTAGTTTCCAAATGTGACAAGAAGAAATCAGTCGCCTTCATCACTACGAGGTTTAGTACTGTATTATTTAGAGCCATCGACCACGTCACACCAAACAGAATAAATTAGACAGCTAGAATTACCACCTTGCAATTAAATGCCTCCGCTAACCAGTCTCAGGCTGCTGTCAGCACTAGAGTGGTCTCCTATGGTCTGAATCAGGGACTCATGTTGTTCCAAAGTTGTATAATTGTCTAGAGTTGGTTCGTGTTCTCACGGCAGCATTTACAAGAGGACCAGATCAAATGCCTTGTGTGAGAAAGCTGCTCTTGATTGGTCAGAATTTCCATGTGGGAAAAATCCAGGAAGTAAAGCAAACGTTGTGACACTTTCTAATGTCACAATGGAGGGACAACTACGCAGGTTGATTTTAGCGCTGCTCATCGTGGACTATATTGCTGTCATTGTTCATTTTAGTCAAAACATACAGTTTGAAAACGAGGCGCGGCTCCAACTAGAAAACAATGTTTTGATGCATTGGATGTGCTGAATGTGCATATTAAGGCAGTACAGGAGGAGGTGCACATTAATAATCCTCCAGGACTGTAACATGCTCATGTTTAACTCAGTGTTTGAATGTTTATGAATTCTTGGCCAAAAACATGTTATGTGAGGTCACATTGACCTTCGACCACCAAAATCGATCAATTCTTACACAATACGTGCAGGATTTTTAAAGGATTAGTTTGATGCTTGGGGAAATACATTTACTTGCATCCTGGCCGTGGCTTAGATTGCCAGAATAAATGTCAGCATTGTATGTTTCTGTAAACCACAGATACATTACAAATACATCTGTACTTTATTATTTAGCAGATATGTTGAAACTTAACATTTATTTATGTTTCAACAATGCTGTGGTGAGGTTAAGCCACAAAAATGTCTAGTTATGGTTAGGAAAAGAATAAGTTTTGGCTTAAAACATCCACTTTTGGTGACACAATCCTGGCTGGAAATGCAGCGATCACCTTCTTAACCCACTGGTTTTGTTGGTTGTTAATCTCAAACAGTGATCTGCAGCTTGGCAGGCATCTCGCCTAATGTAACACCATCTACCATCCACCTCCACCACCCAATGACAAAGTCAGCTCATATACATATGAAACTATTAACTACTGTTGTTGTCCTGCCATGTTTCTCCCTGATGCTGCCAGGCGACTGCCAAAAGCTGCAAATCAGAACTGAAGTACAGAGAGTTGTTGACTAGAGATTATAAACTGTCTCAACGTGGTCACTTCCTGTGAACCGGCAGCTTTTTACAACGCTGACGAATGGCATTTTGCAAGAAGTTGTATGTTTCAACTCATCTTGTCGCCAATCTAAACTGGGCTTCACAGACAGGAGAGACTTGCTAACCACTTCCTTGTGTCAGACGTGATGTGGTGTAATGCAGTTGCAGTGTTATAGCGCAGAGGAGCACATGACTTGAGACCAGGTGGCCGTTAAGCATCATGCATATGGTCCATTGTCATGACAGATTAGCGTATTGTTTCACTCGGTGCTGTTCCAATCTCAGTAATGGACTGTTGCTTAATCGGCTTGAACTTTCAAAACTACTTATCTACCTCCGCCTGGACACACAGCTCTCTGAAACTGATACCCTCCAAACAAGGACCAGTTTGTGTGTGTGTGTGTGTGTGTGTGTGTGTGTGTGTGTGTGTGTGTGTGTGTGTGTTCATTCACACACACTTTCTTTGTGTGATTATAGTGAAACAGTTAAATGTGCACATGCAGTCTTTTCCAGTCTGGATGGATGGATGGATGATGGTGATGGATACATTTATGGCTGGGTGGATTAAATGGGGCTGAAAATTGAGGAGACTCAGAGCTGCTCTGTCTGCTGTGTGATTTTGTTATTTTTGGCTGCAGAATCTGCGACATCCATCTCTGAACCATTTTTCACTTGTTCTTTCATCCAAGACACTGACTTTTCTGTTTTCTTGTACGCAATACAGACTGTAAACAGAGTAAACTGTCCCTCTCTCTGTCTCCTCATTTTGTCCTGCAACTTGGTGTCGAGGTTCATAAGCCCCTTTTTTGCCTGCCTGTTAAGTAAAAACAATTCCTCATTCACCGTCATGGACTTTCCACGTCCACATATGACGTCCAAGGTACCCTGGGTGTGTTGGTTGTTGACGTTCTGGGACGCCGTGTCAACTTCAGCCTGTTACATGCATTGTCTGTTTTCAAAATACTAAATACTAAATAATGTGTGTGACTCACCATGGGAGAATTACAAGTAGCTGTTAGCGGCTAACTCAAAGAAGAACAGCGGCTGTAAATGTTTGCAAATTAGGAAAATAGAGATTTGGGAGCTCCTCCAAGCAGAGGATGAGATCAGCCGCCATAGAACAGGGACGATAAATGAGTGTTATTGACACATTAATGCCATTGTTGCTGTGCAGAGAGCGCTGCTAACATGTATGTTTTGTCACACTGAAGGCCAACACTGTTGAGTTACATGTCATAACAGTCACGTCTGTTTTGATTCCACAAAGCTGCAATGTAGTGCATCATCACACACTGGAGTGGAATGATGCCATCGTTGTTTAGTTCTGTGCAAAGGAGGCATAAAGACGTGACTTTGTTGTGGCCCTAAAGCGCCATCTCTGTGTAAAAAGATAAAACTTAAGATACTGATAGATTTGTTTTGATCTGAGTAAACTGGGGAAAAACTTCTTCTTACTTCTAAGCCTTCTGCCTCAAGAGTTCTGAGCACAAGTGTGAAATGGTTTAGAAAAGGCCACATGGTACCAAAAACACATCACTTGTTCCTCAGCCCAGGGGACAACTTTTCATTAAATCTATCCGAAATCAGTTGAGCCATTTTTGGGACAAACACAAAGTATTAAAGACGTAACCAACAAAAAGCTCTCACCTGCAGCAAGATCTTATTTCCATCGTAGTCCTCTGTCTGCCAGCGGACTTCACTGATTGGGCTGCAGGGGTGAGGCAGCAGCGGCACCAGCGTCCCGACGTCTCGTACCCTCACCTCCATCACTGCTGACTCCAGCACCACCGGACTCTGACCTCGCGGGAGCCTCTTAAATGATAACTGGATCTCCATATCTGGGTTGGAGTACACCACAAAGAAGCAGAAGTCCTCCTTCTTCTGCGCTACCCTCCGCTGCAGCAGCAGCTTGTAAAGCCGCACCATGTCGGCGTAATTTTCATGTCGGCAATAAACAGTAAATCGCACAATTTCTTTCCCATAATGGACTTGCCGCACGGCCCAGAGTGGTGTGCCAGCAGACAGTGTGAAAAAGTCCTGACTGCATGGTGTCAGCGGTAACATCCGCCGGCCATTGCTGACTTTTTCAGTGTGGTGGTAGCGCCAAGGCGGCCTCTGCAGAGCGTGGTGCAGCATCAGAATCTGCTCCTCGCCACCGTACGCCTCCTGGAGGAAGAGGATGACCGCCAGGGCCGGCTGGCAGGCTGCAACCGGGCTGCTGTTTTGATGGTGCTTGGGCCGGGAGACAGAGGCCCGCTCTGAGACCCGGAAGAGCTGCAGCTCAGGGTGAACCCACGCCAGCACAGCATCGGCAGCACGCTGCAGGAACTTGCCCTGGCCGGGGTCGGCGATGAGGTGGACGCTGACAAGGAAGGGATCCTGGAGCTCACCCATGGATAATTCACCTCCACACACAACAGCATCAAGAAAAGACAAGAGAGAGCAGAAAGGGCAAGAACAGAAATGGGATGAGAAAGGACACAAAATTATCATCAGCTTGTTAAATCTGGCATTGTATCAGACAAATAAACCCTGTCACCTGGAAAATACATAGTTTAACATTCAGTGTAATATCATTTTGTTGCATCATATCTGTGCATGGCACCAACAGCATCAACATCATCCTCACTGTGACCTCGTCACATGTCCACGTTTGGTCATGGACTTTCCACGTCCACATATGACGTCCAAGGTACCCTGGGTGTGTTGGTTGTTGACGTTCTGGGACGCCGTGTCAACTTCAGCCTGTTACATGCATTGTCTGTTTTCAAAATACACTTCTGTTTTCACAGGAAATG